TTCAGCTGTTTCTCTTCATTTTGAGTTGTGCCCGATCAGCAAATGAAGATTCTGTGGGCTTTTCTCCCACGAGCTTTACTGCATTCACGTCGTCACGGTCAACTCTACTTTGAGGAGGCTTCTCTTCCCCAGTCTCATTTTGAGTGCCTTCCAACCTGAGGAGCTCATTTTCCAGCACTGTATCTGACAGTGTTTCTCTGCTATTCATAAGGTTTTCAGTGACTAAGCAAAAAGTTTGAAGTTATATTTTTGGATTGTTTTTAACTATCTGTATTCTGTATTGCCACTGTTTAATGATGAGAATTGAGAATATGTGGTAAACATTTATGACCACAGCTTGGTATCTCTTCTTGATTCTTTTCTGTAATACCTAAGCTTGTATGACATAAGGTCCCTTTGTTCTTTGGTGAAGTTATATGTTATCATTACTATTGTGTCATGTGATTTTGGATGTTAGGCTTCTGGAAAGATCATGCTCTAGGTTTGGGAGAGAGATGGAAACTTAATGATCAGGCAAGGAAACAGATCTAAAGAAGTAGTCTAATGATTTGGTTGACAACCTGATTTGGGAAGTAATTTAGTCTCTAGGCTTAGTACAAAGCCGTTTCCGTCTGTCAGATGAACTAAGAACAGATGTCATCCCTCAGACAAGGAACAGAAACTTAACAGGTGGCTCAGAACGACATGGGAGTTTTGAGTGAGGAAGATGAAGAAGACTCCCTTTGCTGTTAGAAAGATATGCCTTAATGCAGTAGTCTGTGCTCTTTCCTCCATTGAAGAGAAATTGAGCGGAAGAGAAAGAATTGGACTGGGTAGGAATTCTAGGAAGCTAAAGCTGTAGTTCACCATCTGTCTGCCAGCTTGCCATTCTGTGGTGGTCTGTGTGTTGCTATGACGCTGGAGGCTGTGCCACCAGTATTTCAAATACTTATAGTGGACATTTTGTAGTAGAGCTTCCAGAGTGAAACAGATTAGGAAGAAAAGCTTGGTGGTTTCCAGTTCCTCATGAGTTTTCCTTACACCATTGTTTTCCTTTTTTTTTTTCAGAGCTTCTTCGGAGTACATTCACATACCTGGGATTTGAAGTCCATAACCACTTGTATGTCAGTGTGGACCATATGACTCAAATTCTTCACCAAGCTGCCTTTATGACCCAACACCAAAGCTATGACAGTTTTGTATGTGTCCTGGTGAGCCGAGGAAGCTCCCAGAGAGTATTTGGCACGGATACGGCTCATTCAGGGTTCTCCTTGGATCAGATCAAGCAGGTGTTCATGGCAGATGCATGCCCTTCTCTCTTAGGGAAACCAAAGCTCTTTTTTATTCAGAACTATGTGGTGTCAAAGAACCAGCAGGAGGACAGCAGCCTTTTGGAGGTAGATGGAGCAGGAACATACAATGTGGAAAACAAGGCAAGGCAGCCTGGGTCCTGCATGATCCACCGAGAAGCTGACTTCCTCTGGAGCCTGTGCAACGCAGACGTGGCCTTGCTGGAGAAGTCCCCCAGCTCATCCTCCATCTACCTGCAGTACCTTTCCCAGGAACTGCGGCAAGAAAGGTGAGCTGCCCGGGGACAGTCAGACCCTGGACTACTTTCACCCGTAGCGTGAAAGTCGTGATATCTGCATTGATCCGTGAGCAGCAGTGGTGGTGACTGGGGGGACCCTGGATGGTGAAGAGGGTGGGAGGGTGGGAACCCGAAAGGAAAGAAAGAGAGATCAAATTTGAAATTTGAAAACAATGGAGAAGACTCAAGAAACTGTCCAAAGAATTCTTCTAGAACCCTGTAAGTACTTACTTCAGTTACTTAGTTCAGGTAAACAAGTGAGAACCAGACTTTCACAGGCTTTAATCACTGGCTGAAAGTTCTAGAAGACAAACTACAGATTATCATTGAAGTGATGGAAATGTTACATAATGCCAGTTTGCTCATTGATGATATTGAAGACAACTACAAACTTCAACGTGGCTTTCCAGTGGCACACAGCATCTATGGAATTCCATCTGTCATCAACTCTGCTAATTATGTATATTTCCTTGGCTTAGAAAAATCTTGACCCTTGACCACCCAGATGCAGTGAAGCTTCTTACTCGCCAACCTTTAGAACTCCACCAGGGACAAGGCCTGTATATATATATTGGAGGGATAATTATACTTGTCCCACTGAAGAATAGAAAGCTATGGTGCTGCAGAAGACAGGTGGACTATTTGGATTAGCCATAGGTTTCATGCAATTGTTTTCTGATTACAAAGAAGATTTAAAGCCACTACTTGACACACTTGGGCTCTTTTTCCAAATTAGAGATGATTATGCTAATCTGCACTCCAAAGAATATAGCAAAAACAAAAGTTTTTGTGAAGATCTTATGGAGAGAAAATTCTCATTTCCTACTATTCATGCTATTTGGTCAAGGCCCGAAAGCACACAGGTGCAGAATATATTGTGCCAAAGAACCGAAAATGTAGATATTAAAAAATACTATGTTCATTATCTTGAGGATGTAGGTTCTTTTGATTACACTCAGAAGATGCTTAGAGAGCTTGAGTCTAAAGCCTATAAACAAATTGATACCCAAGGTGGAAACCCTAAGCTAATAGCTCTAATAAAGCACTTAAGTAAGATGTTCAAAGAAGAAAATGAATGATGTGAAGCCTTTCTGATTGGGCCTAATCACTTATTGTATAAATACATTGTTGTTGTTGTTATGTGCTGTGAAGTCAGTTCCAACTCATAGCGACCCTATACAGTGTTTCCAAGGCTGTAAATCTTTAC